TGTGGGTATAGCAGTGTGTGGGTATAGATACCAGGGCAAGTCCAGTGTGTGGGTATAGATACCAATCAAGTCCAGTGTGTGGGTATAGATACCAGGGCAAGTCCAGTGTGTGGGTATAGATACCAGGGCAAGTCCAGTGTGTGGGTATAGATACCAGGGCAAGTCCAGTGTGTGGGTATAGCAGTGTGTGGGTATAGATACCAGGGCAAGTCCAGTGTGTGGGTATAGATACCAATCAAGTCCAGTGTGTGGGTATAGATACCAGGGCAAGTCCAGTGTGTGGGTACAGATACCAATCAAGTCCAGTGTGTGGGTACAGATACCAATCAAGTCCAGTGTGTGGGTATAGATACCAGGGCAAGTCCAGTGTGTGGGTATAGATACCAGGGCAAGTCCAGTGTGTGGGTATAGATACCAGGGCAAGTCCAGTGTGTGGGTATAGATACCAATCAAGTCCAGTGTGTGGGTATAGATACCAGGGCAAGTCCAGTGTGTGGGTACAGATACCAATCAAGTCCAGTGTGTGGGTACAGATACCAATCAAGTCCAGTGTGTGGGTATAGATACCAGAGCAAGTCCAGTGTGTGGGTATAGATACCAGGGCAAGTCCAGTGTGTGGGTATAGATACCAGGACAAGTCCAGTGTGTGGGTATAGATACCAGGGCAAGTCCAGTGTGTGGGTATAGATACCAGGACAAGTCCAGATACCAGGGCAAGTCCAGTGTGTGGGTATAGATACCAGGACAAGTCCAGATACCAGGGCAAGTCCAGTGTGTGGGTATAGATACCAGGGCAAGTCCAGTGTGTGGCCAGTGTGTGGGTATAGATACCAGGGCAAGTCCAGTGTGTGGGTATAGATACCAGGGCAAGTCCAGTGTGTGGCCAGTGTGTGGGTATAGATACCAGGGCAAGTCCAGATACCAGGGCAAGTCCAGTGTGTGGGTATAGATACCAACCAAGTCCAGTGTGTGGGTATAGATACCAGGACAAGTCCAGTGTGTGGGTACAGATACCAGGGCAAGTCCAGTGTGTGGGTACAGATACCAGGGCAAGTCCAGTGTGTGGGTACAGATACCAGGGCAAGTCCAGTGTGTGGCCAGTGTGTGGGTATAGATACCAGGGCAAGTCCAGTGTGTGGGTATAGATACCAGGACAAGTCCAGTGTGTGGGTACAGATACCAGATACCATCTGCTGATCACCACAGTCAGCTCTGGTCAGCTGGGAGGAAATGTGAGGGACAAGCTCTAGTGGCCGTCAATGACGACTTTAGTTGGCCAAAATAATGGCAGCATTTCATTTTTGGGTTGAATGTCGTGGCCTTTCGAATGTCTAGGTCTACGGAACATCTATCAGAAATAAATTGGACGACAGCTCTATAAAGGCTAGGTGGGTCAATGGACGAGTTTTCCTCCGTAAGTCAAAGTTTGAGCTGATCGAATACCACACACGCCTCACACAGCATCACACACGCCTCACACACTCCCACACAGGTGTTTCACACACAGAACACTCTGGACGCTGGCATAACTTTGAACGACTGACCACGACAGGAGAACACTTGCCATTGAGACAGAAAACTAGTTGATAGTGTACACGGATACATGGACTGTGTGTATGTGTACATGTCTACATGGAGTGTGTTAGTGTACATGTAGTGTGTTAATATACATGGAGTGTGTTAGTGTACATGGAGTGTGTTAGTGTACATGTCTACATGAAGTGTTAGTGTACATGTCTACATGGAGTGTGATGTGTACATGTCTACATGGAGTGTGTTAGTGTAAATGTCTACATGGAGTGTGATGTGTACATGTCTACATGCAGTGTTAGTGTACATGTCCACATGGAGTGTTAGTGTACATGTCTACATGGAGTGTGTTAGTGTACATGTCTACATGGAGTGTGATGTGTACATGTCTACATGGAGTGTTAGTGTACATGTCTACATGGAGTGTGATGTGTACATGTCTACATGCAGTGTGATGTGTACATGTCTACATGGAGTGTGATGTGTAGATGTCTACATGGAGTGTGTTAGTGTACATGTCTACATGGAGTGTTAGTGTACATGTCTACATGGAGTGTGATGTGTACATGTCTACATGGAGTGTGATGTGTACATGTCTACATGGAGTGTGATGTGTACATGTCTACATGGACTGTGTTAGTGTACAAGTCTACATGGAGTACGCGGCTAAATGAAGTGTTATGTGTACACGGTTACATAGAGCTACAACGCTGTATCCGTACACACACACACTGTGCCAGCACAAAAAGCTTGCCAAGAATGTTCTAGAGTAGGGCCACATTGAAACGTCTTCTCCCCTCCCACCCCCCGCCAGTTATCTATTCAGTATGGCCATCGATTTTCATATCATACAGAGCCAGTCCCTAGTCGACCTTCGTATTCTACCGACCATTGGCACATACAGAGCCAGTCCCTAGTCGACCTTCGTATTCTACCGACCATTGGCACATACAGAGCCGGTCCCTAGTCGACCTTCGTATTCTACCGACCATTGGCACATACAGAGAGGTCCCTAGTGGACCTTCGTATTCTACCGACCATTGGCACATCCAGAGCCGGTCCCTAGTGGACCTTCGTATTCTACCGACCATTGGCACATACAGAGCCGGTCCCTAGTGGACCTTCGTATTCTACTGGCACATACAGAGCCGGTCCCTAGTGGACCTTCGTATTCTACCGACCATTGGCACATACAGAGCCGGTCCCTAGTGGACCTTCGTATTCTACCGACCATTGGCACATACAGAGCCGGTCCCTAGTGGACCTTCGTATTCTACCGACCATTGGCACATCCAGAGCCGGTCCCTAGTGGACCTTCGTATTCTACCGACCATTGGCACATACAGAGCCGGTCCCTAGTGGACCTTCGTATTCTACTGGCACATACAGAGCCGGTCCCTAGTGGACCTTCGTATTCTACCGACCATTGGCACATACAGAGCCGGTCCCTAGTGGACCTTCGTATTCTACCGACCATTGGCACATACAGAGCCGGTCCCTAGTGGACCTTCGTATTCTACTGGCACATACAGAGCCGGTCCCTAGTGGACCTTCGTATTCTACCGACCATTGGCACATACAGAGCCGGTCCCTAGTGGACCTTCGTATTCTACCGACCATTGGCACATACAGAGCCGGTCCATAGTGGACCTTCGTATTCTACCGACCATTGGCACATACAGAGCCGGTCCCTAGTGGACCTTCGTATTCTACCGACCATTGGCACATACAGAGCCGGTCCCTAGTGGACCTTCGTATTCTACCGACCATTGACACATACAGAGCCGGTCCCTAGTGGACCTTCGTATTCTACCGACCATTGGCACATACAGAGCCGGTCCCTAGTGGACCTTCGTATTCTACTGGCACATACAGAGCCGGTCCCTAGTGGACCTTCGTATTCTACCGACCATTGGCACATACAGAGCCGGTCCCTAGTGGACCTTCGTATTCTACCGACCATTGGCACATACAGAGCCGGTCCATAGTGGACCTTCGTATTCTACCGACCATTGGCACATACAGAGCCGGTCCCTAGTGGACCTTCGTATTCTACCGACCATTGGCACATACAGAGCCGGTCCCTAGTGGACCTTCGTATTCTACCGACCATTGACACATACAGAGCCGGTCCCTAGTGGACCTTCGTATTCTACCGACCATTGGCACATACAGAGCCGGTCCCTAGTGGACCTTCGTATTCTACCGACCATTGGCACATACAGAGCCGGTCCCTAGTGGACCTTCGTATTCTACCGACCATTGGCACATACAGAGCCGGTCCCTAGTGGACCTTCGTATTCTACCGACCATTGGCACATACAGAGCCGGTCCCTAGTGGACCTTCGTATTCTACCGACCATTGGCACATACAGAGCCGGTCCCTAGTGGACCTTCGTATTCTACCGACCATTGGCACATACAGAGCCGGTCCCTAGTGGACCTTCGTATTCTACCGACCATTGGCACATACAGAGCTGGTCCATAGTGGACCTTCGTATTCTACCGACCATTGGCACATACAGAGCAGGTCCCTAGTGGACCTTCGTATTCTACCGACCATTGGCACATACAGAGCCGGTCCCTAGTGGACCTTCGTATTCTACCGACCATTGGCACATACAGAGCCGGTCCCTAGTGGACCTTCGTATTCTACCAACCATTGGCACATACAGAGCCGGTCCCTAGTGGACCTTCGTATTCTACCGACCATTGGCACATACAGAGCCGGTCCATAGTGGACCTTCGTATTCTACCAACCATTGGCACATACAGACCTTATACAAACAGCACATATAGCACGCTAACCTTCCAACCTCAGCACATATAGCACGCTGACCTTCCCTCCGCACATATAGCACGCTAACCTTCAAACATCAGCACATATAGCACGCTGACCTTCAAACATCAGCACATATAGCACGCTGACCTTCCCTCCGCACATATAGCACGCTAACCTTCAAACATCAGCACATATAGCACGCTGACCTTCAAACATCAGCACATATAGCACGCTGACCTTCCAACCTCAGCACATATATCACGCTGACCTTCAAACATCGACACATGTAGCACGCTGACCTTCAAACATCAGCACATATAGCACGCTGACCTTCAAACATCAGCACATATATCACGCTGACCTTCAAACATCAGCACATATAGCACGCTGACCTTCCAACCTCAGCACATAGTACGCTGACCTTCAAACATCGGCACATGTAGCACGCTGACCTTCAAACATCGGCGAATATATCACGCTGACCTTACAACCTCACTGACCTTATTTCAGCGTAAGGGCATGCCATTCTCCCCAAATGTTAGGGAACTAGACCAATTTCAATCAATGGCAGACCAGCAATGTCGTCAACACAGCGGCCCGTACACACACAGCCGGTTACCTAACAGACCCGGGTCAAAGTTCATTCACTAGAACAACCCCGGTCGCTGTGAGAAAAAAAATGACTTACTTGTTTCTGTGAAGGTCCACGACAAACAGTCGACCAAAGGCCCTAAACTCTACTGTGATGTTATCCAGATGTGGCGCCTGTCAGGGGAAGTAACAATCGTTAGCAGGGGCTGACAAGTTTGTTCACAACAGGTACTGAGTACACGAACATACGGAAAAAAAAGTCACAGAAAAATAACAGAAATATAGTTTTTGCTAGAAAAAAGTCTCAAAAGAAAAATTTTATCGGAAAAAAAGTCACACAAATATTCTAAGAAATATTTTGTTTCAATTGTTGATAATTGTAAAATTGTGAGTGTTTAGTAATGGGTGTTTTTTTTTTATTTTAAGTTGGTAGCATATTTACACATTTAAAAAGCCTTATGGTTTATAACAATAATAAGTAAAAATACTAAACGACAATTTACATAGCAATATGCACTTTTTAACGTATTTAGTTGAACGAGCCGACCCGCGGCATATCATACGCCGCTTTTAGTTGTTGTTTTTTCTACTTTTCAGAAATTCGTAATTTGTGAATTCGACAGTACCAACGCTGCCACTGAAAATATTTCTTTAAAAGACTAAAAGACTATAAGTATCTCGTTAAGGACGATAACTCCCCCCCCCCCTACATTACAGTAAACTCCACTTAGTTACTAGTCGTCATTAAACCCGGCTCTGTTTGTAAACATTTAGAGTGAACCACAGCTCACCAGGTCATGTAGGGGTGGGGGTGGTAGGGAGCGCGCTTACAGCTTGTTTTCTAGCGACTCCCAGAAGAGAATTGTATATATACGAGCCGACCCGCAGCGTATCATACGCCGCTATTTAGTTGTTTTATTTTCTACTTTTCAGTCATTCATGATTTGTGAAATCGACAGTACCAATGCTGCCACTGAAAATATTTGCTTAAAAACACTAAACCCCCTCCCCCCCCCCACGTGAAAGCAGCCTCCTCTTAGTTACCTCCTCTAAGTTTAAAATCGTTTCAAACTAAATTATCTGCCCCTAATAGCCGTCACCAAACCCGTCTCTATGATTGTAAAATGTAAACAGCGTGACCACAGCTCACCAGACAATGTGGGGGTGGGGTGGGGGTGGTAGTGATAGTGATAGAGAGAAAGAGAGGGGACTGCAATGAGGCGCTTGCAGCTTGTTTTCTAACGGCTCCCGGAAGAGAATTATATATATAGATAGATAGATACGTGGTAGAAAAATGTATTATAAAAATGTTGGAACGTCATTGTGATTTGCGTTTTTTTTTGGCCGTAGGTCCTTCCTTTGTCGGCCTCTCCTCAGTCGGCCTTGTCCGTCCATATTGTGTGTTGTGGACGTTTTGCGTCAATGACAGCCTTTGTACCGTGTCGGCTTTCTGTTTTGATCCCATGCTTTGCTTATGTAATGATTGTGATAAATGTGGGCAGTACAGGTGGTTGACCTATTGTTGTGATGGTATGAGGACAAGTCATATTAACTACGTCTTTACGCCATTTCACGATAATTTAATGGTAGTATTTTCAAAACGATGTAAACCGAAAAGGTTGGAACATCCTATTTAATTCTATTAAATGTTATAGGTATAACGGAATTAAAACATACATATTTCAAACTAAATATATGTACGTGTGTCATATATTACTATACCTATACAACCTCCGTAAATATATCTAAAATGTTTACATTTCATTTGAATCGTAAGTTGATTGCACTTTCTGAATATTTAACACATACAAGTATTAAATTCCATACGAATACATATTTTTCCCCTGTACATACTACTGTCTAAGACCAGGGTACATACGTAGGACAGTGTTGTTCACTCAGCTCTGATGGGTACCATACTCGTGTTAAGAAAAAAAAGGCGGCTGGGCATAGTGCTGACCACACTCTCCCTTCATATGCCGGGGTCACAGAAACAGATGAACTGTTTCACCTGCCCCATGGACCGCCAGGTTCGAAAGGGAACTTTGACATGTCAGGACCATAGTGGCTTGTGTAGATCGATGCATCTGGCTCAGTGTGTGACCGTTACTAGGTCACCCTGACCTGAAGAGGGAGGGGTGACCACGGAATCTCTAGTCCCCACTAAGCGTCTGCTTATCAGAGTCAGCTCATTCATTAGTCAGACTTTAGCATGGCATGCCATTAGCCAGCTGATTGTGTCACGTCATTATTTGACCGTTTCAGTCCGTAACTGACCAGAGCGTTCTTGGTCAATAGGTCATCAAGGTTTTCACAACTAGGATAATAGGTCATCAAAGTTTTCACAACTAGGCTAATAGGTCATCAAATTTTCACAACTAGGCTAATAGGTCATCAAAGTTTTTGCAATTAAGCTAATAGTTAATCGAAGTTTTGACATTCTAGTTGTTAAATTTATTTTAAAAATCTAGATGTTTACATTATTTATGGAAACTAAAAATCTAGATGTTTACATTATTTAGCCAGTTCTTCTTTCTCTCGTGTCCTAGACTTAAATCTAGATGTTTACAGTATTTAGCCAGATCTTCTTTCTCTCGTGTCCTAGACTTAAATCTAGATGTTTACAGTATTTAGCCAGTTCTTCTTTCTCTCGTGTCCTAGACTTAAATCTAGATGTTTACAGTATTTAGCCAGTTCTTCTTTCTCTCGTGTCCTAGACTTAAATCTTATCAGCTGACGAGAGGTGAAGTCAGGCTAGGAATGTCCCCCCCCCCCCACTACTAGAGAGGTGGTCAGGCTAGGGATGCCCCCCCCCCACCAGAGAGGTGGTCAGAATAGGGATGCCCCCACACTACTAGAGAGGTGGTCAGGCTAGGGATGCCCCTCGCCCACCAGAGAGGTGGTCAGGCTAGGGATGCTTGACCAGACACCAATTCTGTATGTTCTCATGTGATAATACCTGGCTACTGATGGTATTACGTACAGCATACATGTGGTGTACACTGACACCATGACTGACACATACAGCATGTACACGTGTTGTGTACAATCACATCATGATTGACATATACAGTATATGTTGGGTGTGCAATCACATGAAGTCTGACACAGATATCTAACATGGCATAAGACAGGTTCCCACTGTACAAGCTCATGTGAATGTTCCAGTCCTACAAGTAGGTCAGAAAATGAGGTCAAACACTTGTGCCACTTTAGCACCTGCAGCCATAATTAGCTGAGGCATCAAGTGGGAGTGGTCATTGTTCCACCAGAACCAGTTGACCTGTACGAGGTCTGTACACAGTTCGTACACAGTCCATACACAGACCAGTTACCAGAATGTAAGAACCCTTGTTAGAAAGCTTGCTGCAGTCCATTTTTAATGCGCTTTTTAAAAATTTTGTTTCAATTTTAAATTCAATTAAAATCATTATAAAAACTGCATGGAGCATTAAAAAAATAAAATAATAAAAGACAAGCTAAAAGATGCAGCCTGATCCTAATAATACTAAAGATGGCATAACAGACAACAACAAAAGAATAAGCTATGAAAATAGACCAAGGATTAATTAGGCTCAACTTTTCTAAAACCCAACCCAATTAATTTACTTCTATTTTATTTCTTTAATAAATAATTGATTTTTGTTTTGGAATGACATGAACATTTTTTTTCCTGTTTTTAATGAAATGTGTTTATAAAGTACAAATCTTTTAAATAATAAAGAAGTTTATCATGGTGAAAAGATTTAAATGTCACAGCTATTAGGAAGAAGCAAATCAATAAATTTATTTTGTGGAGATGGCCATGGTGTAAAAATTATGTGATAATGAAATAGATTTACAGGAAAAAAAAACAACAACTTTAAAAGCCTTGAGCAAACAAGCAAGCAATCAGATAATGTTTCCTAGAATAGAAATTAATGAGAGGAGACAAACCTCAGCTTCAACTGGACGGCCCTGGTGCAGGATTGATGGAATGCTGTCATGGTAACGGTTAAAAAATGAAAGTCTCTTCAGTTTCTGAGCATCTTTAGCATCACCTGTAAAATTATTTTTATAAAATATGATTAAAATATTTTTTATTAGAACTCCAGGAAAGTATTTTTTATAAAACATAAGTAAAATATTTTTTTATAAAAAATCGGATCCTTTATTTCAAAATATATAGATGTATGTTGCAACATTTAGCTACAAATAATAAAAAACTATGTACAAATAACTACAGCTAACATGACACTGCCTACATATTACAAGTCTAAAACAAGAAGAGAACCATCTTCTCTAACAGTACCAAACATCTCTGGTCATAAAAAATAAATAAATTTAAGTCACCAGACAGGAAGATTCTATTAATTTCCAAAGCAAATGGCTATGTAATGTGTATTGTATGATTATTAAATCATTAGTTGTACCCACTACAGAGTCACTTACACAGTACATTTTTTTTTACTTGTTTCTACTTACAAGTGGGTTGACTGGATAAAGCTTTCCAATAAAATATAACCAAGCCCAACCCCTCCCACCTCCCTAAAAAAATTGAATGTTGGTCAAAATCAATTGGGAGCTAAAATAAGACAGATGTAGACAACAATCAGGAAGTTAAAACTTATTTATATCAGTAATTAGGGTTAAACAAATTAATCCACTCATTAACACACCAACAAAATAGGTCTGATAATCCAGCCCAGTCACCAGTCTCACAACCCAACCACCCTCACCAGTCTGACAACCCAACCTCAGTCAGTCATCATCTGACATTGACAACCCAACCTCAGTCACCAGCCTGACAACCCAACCTCCCTCACCAACCTGACAACCCAACCTCAGTCAGTCACCAACATAACAACCCAACCTCAGTCAATTCAGTCATCATCTGACAACCCAACCTCAGTCGCCATCCTGACAACCCAACTTCAGTCAGTTACTAATATGACAACCCAACTTCAGTCAATTCTGTCATCATCTGACAACCCAACCTCAGTCGCCATCCTGACAACCCAACCTCAGTCAATCACCAGCATGACAACCCAACCTCAGTCAATTCTGTCATCATCTGACAACCCAACCTCAGTCGCCATCCTGACAACCCAACTTCAGTCAGTTACTAATATGACAACCCAACCTCAATCACCAGCATGACAACCCAACCTCAGTCAATTCAGTCATAATCTGACAACCCAACCTCAGTCGCCGGCCTGACAACCCAACCTCAGTCAGTCGCCAACATAACAACCCAACTTCAGTCAATTCAGTCATCATCTGACAACCCAACCTCAGTCGCCGGCCTGACAACCCAACTTCAGTCAGTCACCATCCTGACAACCCAACTTCAGTCAGTTACTAGTATGACAACCCAACCTACGTCATCAGCATGACAACCCAACCTCATTCACCAGCATGACAACTCAACCTCAAACTTATGACCAGGATTGAATTTTAAAACATTGAGAGTAAAGAGATGAACAACAATAATTTCATTTAGGCTATTCAAAATGTAAAAAAAAAAAACCACCCCAGAAACTTATAACATAGGCCTAATTTTTTAATTTAATCATTTCAGTCCTTGGAAATTAGAGCCTAACTAAAATTATGCCTAATAAGTTTAGAAAAAGGATTATTTTTAAATTTAAAAAAAAATTAGGCCTTCCATTAGGCATTAGTTAGGGCCCTACTAGAATACTAGATAGTCTAGTCTAGTCTAGATCTGGAATCTAATTAGTAATTAGTAAAACTAATAATTAGGCCTATAATCTAGATCTAGATCTAAACTTTTATTTCTTTAACTGAATACAGTTTAACTATTTGGTTCAACAAGTTATTCTGATCAAAACACGCAAAAGTATGGCACAAATTACTGACTTCTGCTACCAATATGATTCATCTTTAAAAACATGACCTCATTCCCATCCCTAGCACACAGGCACTATCAACACTGCCACTCACCAACTGTGTTACACTTCTCGCACAAAGCCGAGGGTAAAACACACACGGCCCGGTTTTATTAATAAACAAGATAAAATTAGTGATTTTGTATTTCATTTATAAAATCATCCTAATTTACATACCTTTATATAATCCAATACATGATATACAAATAAAGAAAAACAGAATTTGTTTTCTAAATATCCGACTCAACCACAGTTCCATCGCTTCTTCCTCTCCATCACTAACTTTACCTACTCATATTGCACAGGTTGCCAGATAAAAATCTAACAAAGTTGCCAGTCTACGAATGTCTGAGTTCCGACGCTTCACAGTTCTACCCATTGTTTTAATGTTTGTGTCTAGTACATTTGTGTATGGCATATTTTAAGACTGATATTTTCACGTTAATTTAGTTTTATAATTTAGGGGACCTATACGAAGAGAGCTTAGGGATAGTGAATGTAGTGAATGTAACCATCGAGCTTATAACAAATGTAATGAGAATGTGGTCATATAATTTTGTTACTTTGTGTAAATTTTAGTAGGGGTGATGTAGTCCTTGCTATAATATTGTTTAATTAAGAAAAGATGTTTGAAAAACTCGAAAGCAAAACTTAAAGATAGTTTCTAATGAGGATTTAATTGGTAATTTCTAAAACAAAATTTGTTGAATCCTGTTCTTTATGATAATTACACATATTGTAATAATAAATAATAAAAATTATGTCGTAGTTATGGTGTTTTTAAGGAGGGGGGGGGGGGGGGGAGACGGCTGTTCTTAGAAAAAGAAAAGCTATAGGCATGGCAGTTGACTAGCTTTCATTGTAAGGCAAATCAATAACAAACTAAGGGGATTTTAATTTCTTCTTTTCCTCGTCTTCGTTCTTACTTGTAGTGTTTGAAGGGATCCCCTCCAACAAAACAAAGAATACGTGTAAACTAGTTACGCGCCATTTAGGCCGTTGAGTCCGATTTCAGTCTACTTTTCTTTTTGGATTTGCTTCCATAGCATTTGTCAAACCAAGAACAAACAACAAGGCAGCAGTTGTTTAATGTTGGAGTTGTCTCTCCATCTGCCCTGGGTTCGAACTTCCGTACGACCAGCCGTCTCGTATGGTACTCGGGGATTTTTTTTCTAGGTTATCTTCGTAGCACCACTGCGTGTGTAAGTGATTAAGGAATTTAATTTATCATTTCTGGCTAAACAAGTATATTCAAATTTTGACTAAATTTTGATGTTAATGTGAACAGTGATCGAAGGGATATAACTGTGTAATTATTGATTCTAGCTCGTGTTAAATTAAGGTTACCTCCCTTTAATTGTTTGATTTCTATAACCAATTTGCCTAAATAAAAATTGTTTATAAATAAATAAAACTGGATTTTGCAAATAAATTTTAATAAAACACAAAACATAATTAATCAGATCTGTAGGCTTAAAGTAAACATTAAATCTCGAACCAATAAAATAAACAATGAATATGAAATCAATAAAATAAACATTGGATCTGAAAGATGTGAAATAAACTAGGATGCTGAAATCAGATGTTGACTAGAACGCGTGCAGACGACTGCTACCAGTCCATGGTAAAAGCAGACAGAAACTTATTTGATGCGCACAGTCTGAAATTATCAACAGTAGTCTCGTGAGTCCGGGATTTGTGGACACAAGCAATGATTAAATACAGACAGACAGACAGACAGACAGACAGACAGACAGACAGACAGACAGACAGACAGACAGACAGACAGACAAACAGACAGACAGACAGACAGACAGACAGACAGACAGACAGACAGACAGACAGACAGACAGACAGACAGACAGACAGACAGACAGACAGACAGACAGACAGACAGACAGACAGACAGACAGACAGACAGACAGACAGACAGACAGACAGACAGCTACTTACAGGGTATACAATTGTTGTTACCGTGTCAGTACCGAGGCTATTTTTAGCTTCACAAATAAAATCCCCATAGTAGAAGACTGACCTAAGAGCCCGTATGATCAGGTCACCTGCTGGTGTTACCTAAAAATTCATCATTCATTGTCTGGTTAGCTCAACCTAAAAATTCATCATTCACAGTCTGGTTAGCTCAACCTAAAAATTCATCATTTACGGTCTGGTTAACTCAACCTAAAAATTCATCATTCACGGTCTGGTTAGCTCAACCTAAAAATTCATCATTCACGGTCTGGTTAGCTCAACCTAAAAATTCATCATTGATGGTCTGGTTAGCTCAACCTAAAAATTCATCATTCATGGTTTGGTTAGCTTAACCTAAAAATTCATCATTCATTGTCTGGTTAGCTCAACCTAAAAATTCATCATTCACGGTCTGGTGCTACTGATTAGGGTAACCTAAATACTGACAGACTTTATCCCTAATTATTTATACAGATTAAATCGCTACTGGGATAAAATGGGCAGGATATAATTCGCGAAAAAGAAAAAAAAAATCGAGAAATGAAAGGGATATTTAACATAACGGTCCCATGTAGGTTTGAGACAGGAGTCAAACAAGGGTGTGTTATGTCCCCACTCCTTGGGTTGCCTGATGTCACAAACTACAGACAAAACAAGAGGCATCAGAAGGACACCAACAACTAGCCTAGAGGACCAGGATTTCACTCTAGGACCAGGACATAACTCTGCTAGCCAGCAGTCAAAAATACACGCAAGAAAAACTAAATAGACTTTTTTATTTTACAAGTTGGATTCAAATTAAACATTAACAAAACCAAAGTTCTGAAGCAAAATACACCTAGTCAAGAACCCATTAAAATAAATAACACACAGTTATTTAGGAGACTGCTCCGCTGAGATTAAAACAATCATCTCTAAGCCCAAAATAAGCCCCAGAAACCATGCAAAAAACATGGCGATAGAAGAAAATCTCCAAGACCAAATGTAGACTTTTTAAAAGTAATGTCCTTAGCGTCCTACTGTATGACAGCGAATGCTGAAACAACCGCCACCAGCAGATCACTGGACTCTGTACAAACAAAGTGCATGCGATGGATAAAGGGCATCCACTGGCCTAACACCATCTCAAATGATAGACTACCAGGAGAGATGGAAATGGAAGTGGTTTCCAGAATAATTAAAAAGAGAAGAAGGCGCAAGATGGGGCACGTCTTAAGAATGAATCCAGATGACAGCGCAGGAATGGTGCTTTACTGGACGCCTCTAGGTGCTTTACTGGACGCCTCTAGGTGCTTTACTGGACGCCTCTAGGTGCTTTACTGGACGCCTCTAGGTGCTTTACTGGACGCCTCTAGGTGCTTTACTGGACGCCTCTAGGTGCTTTACTGGACGCCTCTAAGTGTTTTACTGGACGCCTCTAGGTGCTTTACTGGACGCCTCTAGGAAAAAGAAAGCAGGGAAGGCCAAGGTAGACCTGGAGGCGCACGGCGGGGAAGCAGCTGGCAGAGGCAGGACTGTCATGGGAGATTGTCATGGGGGACTGCCATAGGAGATTGCCTTAGAGGACTGCCATAGGGGACTGCCATAGGGGACTGTCATGGGGACTGCCATGGGGGACTGTCATAGGGGACTGCCATAGGGGACTGTCATGGGGGACTGACATGGGGGACTGCCATAGGGGACTGCCATGGGGGACTGCCATAGGGGACTGCCAAAAACTTTGCCGGAGGGAGCTTTCTGTAGCGGCCCCATGTGGCACGGCACAAAAAGCAAAAGATGATGAATAACCCATTGAAATGGACGTCGCCAATCAGTAAAAAAAGCAAAAGATGATGAATAACCCATTGAAATGGACGTCGCCAATCAGTAAAAAAAGAACGTGTAAAATGTAGCGTCATTGTGTTGATCACCTGATACTCACAGTGTAGGTATCACTTTTTAGGTCAATGGGCACGTTATAACCGTTATACCAGGTGATGGTTGGGGTGGGGCTACCCTGCGCACGACAAAACAGCTGGACAGTGCCCGTTTCATATTCAAGTCGAGATGATGTCCACATGAATATTCTTGGCTGACCTGAAAAAATTAGGAGAAAACTTTACATTTCAGAAAACTTCACACTTTAGAAAACTTCACACTTTAGAAAACTTCACACTTTAGAAAACTTCATACTTTAGAAAACTTCACATGAGCTGGACTTCACATTTTCTCAGCACCATTGGCTGAACCACATTTTAGAACTGTGATCCTCCTTACAAAACTGTTGCAGGAAAATAACTGTATTCATTTACCTGACAATGTACACATTTACCCGACAATGTACACATTTACCTGACAATGTACACATTTACCTGACAATATACACATTTACCTGGCAATGTACACATTTACCTGACAATGTACACATTTACCTGACAATTTACACATTTACCTGGCAATGTACACATTTACCTGACAATGTACACATTTACCTGACAATGTTCACATTTACCTGACAATGTACACATTTACCTGACAATGTACACATTTACCTGACAATGTACACATTTACCTGACAATTTACAATCTTTTTGTCCCACCAGCATTTTTGATTCTTCTGCAATAAAAAAAAACTTTCAGTCAGAGTTTATTCCAGGCATCAAACCACTGAGACTGACTCACTGAGCCCCTGAGACTGACTCACCGAGCCCCTGAGACTGACTAACCAAGCCCCTGAGACTGACTCACTGAGCCCCTGAGACTGACTCACCAAGCCCCTGAGACTGACTCACTGAGCCCCTGAAACTGACTCACTGAGCCCCTGAGACTGACTCACCGAACCACTGAGACTGACTCACTGAGCCCCTGACTCACTGAGCCCCTGAGACTGACTCACCGAGCCCCTGAGACTGACTCACCGAGCCCCTGACCAGCCCATATGACCAGCCCACATGACCAGCCCACATGACCAGCCCACATGACCAGCCCATATGACCAGCCCACATGACCAGCCCACATGACCACATGACCAGCCCACATGACCAGCCCATATGACCAGCCACAGCCCACATGACCAGCCCACATGACCAGCCCACATGACCAGCCCACATGACCAGCCACAGCCCACATGACCAGCCCATATGACCAGCCCACATGACCAGCCCACATGACCACATGACCAGCCCACATGACCAGCCCATATGACCAGCCACAGCCCACATGACCAGCCCACATGACCAGCCCACATGACCAGCCCACATGACCAGCCCACATGACCAGCCACAGCCCACATGACCAGCCCATATGACCAGCCACAGCCCACATGACCAGCCCACATGACCAGCCCACATGACCAGCCACAGCCCACATGACCAGCCCACATGACCAGCCCACATGACCAGCCCACATGACCAGCCCACATGACCAGCCCACATGACCAGCCCACATGACCAGCCCACATGATCAGCCCACATGACCAGCCCACATGACCAGCCACAGCCCACATGACCAGCCCACATGACCAGCCCACATGACCAGCCCACATGACCAGCCCACATGACCAGCCCACATGACCAGCCCATATGACCAGCCCACATGACCAGCCCACATGACCACATGACCAGCCCACATGACCAGCCCATATGACCAGCCACAGCCCACATGACCAGCCCACATGACCAGCCCACATGACCAGCCCACATGACCAGCCACAGCCCACATGACCAGCCCATATGACCAGCCCACATGACCAGCCCACATGACCACATGACCAGCCCACATGACCAGCCCATATGACCAGCCACAGCCCACATGACCAGCCCACATGACCAGCCCACATGACCAGCCCACATGACCAGCCCACATGACCAGCCACAGCCCACATGACCAGCCCATATGACCAGCCACAGCCCACATGACCAGCCCACATGACCAGCCCACATGACCAGCCCACATGACCAGCCACAGCCCACATGACCAGCCCACATGACCAGCCCACATGACCAGCCCACATGACCAGCCACAGCCCACATGACCAGCCCACATGACCAGCCCACATGACCAGCCCACATGACCAGCCCACATGACCAGCCCACATGACCAGCCCACATGACCAGCCCACATGATCAGCCCACATGACCAGCCCACATGACCAGCCCACATGACCAGCCCACATGACCAGCCACAGCCCACATGACCAGCCCACATGACCAGCCCACATGACCAGCCCACATGATCAGCCCACATGACCAGCCCACATGACCAGCCACAGCCCACATGACCAGCCCACATGACCAGCCCACATGACCAGCCCACATGACCAGCCCACATGACCAGCCCACATGACCAGCCCACATGACCAGCCCACATGACCAGCCCACATGACCAGCCCACATGACCAGCCACAGCCCACATGACCAGCCCACATGACCAGCCCACATGACCAGCCCACATGACCAGCCCACATGACCAGCCCACATGACCAGCCCACATGACCAGCCCACATGACCAGCCCACATGATCAGCCCACATGACCAGCCCACATGACCAGCCCACATGACCAGCCCACATGACCAGCCACAGCCCACATGACCAGCCCACATGACCAGCCCACATGACCAGCCCACATGACCAGCCCACATGACCAGCCCACATGACCAGCCCATATGACCAGCTCACATGACCAGCCCACATGACCAGCCACAGCCCACATGACCAGCCCACATGACCAGCCCACATGACCAGCCCACATGACCAGCCCACATGACCAGCCCACATGACCAGCCCACATGACCAGCCCACATGACCAGCCCACATGACCAGCCACAGCCCACATGACCAGCCCACATGACCAGCCCACATGACCAGCCCACATGACCAGCCCACATGACCAGCCCACATGACCAGCCCACATGACCAGCCCACATGACCAGCCCACATGACCAGCCACAGCCCACATGACCAGCCCACATGACCAGCCCACATGACCAGCCCACATGACCAGCCCACATGACCAACCCACATGACCAACCCACACGACCAACCCATATGACCAACTAATGTCAAACGTTAATGGACCTATGAAGCGACCAACCAACAATCACAACAGTACGCTCCTGTTGTATTGTGACGGTGGGGTTGTGTCCCACACAGACGTAGATGCCAGCGTCCTCCTCACTCAGACAGTCCAGGTAGAGTCTAGACTGTGTGCTGGACACTTCCAGTCTGGACCGTCCGTCAGAGGTCACGTGATGCTCGCTGTTGCCGGTGTGGGTGTCACCCTGAAATGGTAAACCAAGAACACAGCAGTAGTCTCACTGTTTTCTTTATCAGTCTCACTTTTTTAGCATAGTCTCACTATTTTAGTATAGTCTCACTGTTTTAGTATAGTCTCACTGTTTTCTTTATCAGTCTCACTTTTTTAGCATAGTCTCACTATTTTAGTATAGTCTCACTATTTTAGTATAGTCTCACTGTTTTAGTATAGTCTCACTATTTTAGTATAGTCTCACTGTTTTAGTATAGTCTCACTATTTTAGTATAGTCTCACTATTTTAGTATAGTCTCACTATTTTAGTATAGTCTCACTGTTTTAGTATAGTCTCACTGTTTTAGTATAGTCTCACTGTTTTAGTATAGTCTCACTGTTTTAGTATAGTCTCACTGTTTTAGTATAGTCTCACTATTTTAGTATAGTCTCACTGTTTTTGTAAAGTCTCACTGTTTTAGTATAGTCTCACTGTTTTTGTAAAGTCTCACTGTTTTAGCATAGTCTCACTGTTGTAGCATAGACTCACTGTTTTAGTATAGTCCCACTGTTTTAGTATAGTCCCACTGTTTTAGTATAGTCTCACTATTTTAGTATAGTCTCACTATTTTAGTATAGTCTCACTGTTTTAGTATAGTCTCACTGTTTTAGTATAGTCTCACTGTTTTAGTATAGTCTCACTATTTTAGTATAGTCTCACTATTTTAGTATAGTCTCACTGTTTTAGTATAGTCTCACTGTTTTAGTATAGTCTCACTGTTTTAGTATAGTCTCACTGTTTTAGTATAGTCTCACTGTTTTAGTATAGTCTCACTATTTTAGTATAGTCTCACTGTTTTAGTATAGTCTCACTGTTTTAGTATAGTCTCACTGTTTTAGTATAATCTCACTATTTTAGTATAGTCTCACTGTTTTAGTATAGTCTCACTGTTTTAGTATAGTCTCACTATTTTAGTATAGTCTCACTGTTTTAGTATAGTCTCACTGTTTTAGTATAGTCTCACTGTTTTAGTATAGTCTCACTATTTTAGTATAGTCTCACTGTTTTAGTATAGTCTCACTGTTTTAGTATAGTCTCACTGTTTAATTATAGTCTCACTGTTTTAGTATAGTCTCACTATTTTAGTATAGTCTCACTATTTTAGTATAGTCTCACTGTTTTAGTATAGTCTCACTGTTTTAGTATAGTCTCACTGCTGACCCACCTGCTGACCCACCCGCCGACCCACCCGCCGACCCACCTGCTGAACCACCTGCTGACCCACCTGGTGAATCCGTACTCCGTCCTTGACCCAGTAAATCAGGGCTGGGGGCTGACCAAATACATCACAGTGTAGAATCATGCTACCCCCCACCACCCCGAGCATCCCCCACGGTATGCTTTTGAATAC